GCCCCAAATCTGTAGAGGAAGGAAATAATAAAAATCAGAGCAGAAATAAATGAAATACAAACTTAAAAACAATGGAAAAAAAAATCAATGAAGCCAAGAGCTTGTTCGTTGAAAAGGTAAACAAAATTGACGAACCTTTAGCTAGACTCACCAAGAAAAAAAGAATGCTCAAATAAAATCAGAAATGAAGGAGGAGAAATTACAGTGGACACCTCAGAAACACAAAAGATTATAAGAGAATACTATGAAAAGCTATATGCCAACTAATCTAGAAGAAATGGATAAATTTTTAGAATCATTCAACCTACCCAAACTGAATCAAGAAGAAATAGAGAATTTGAATAGACCAATCACCAGTAAGGAGATTGAAACAATAATCAAAAACCTCCCAAAAAATAAAAATCCAAACCAGCCAGCTTCCCTGGTGAATTCTACCAAACATTCAAAGAAGACTTAATATCCATCCTTCTCAAATTCTTCCAAAAAGTTGAAGAGGAGGGAAGCTTCCTAACTCATTCTATGAAGCCAGCATTACCCTGATACTAAGAACCCACACAAAAGAAGGACAACACAAAAAAAGAAAATTACAGACCAATATCACTGATGAACGTTGGTGCAAAAATCCTCAACAAAATACTGGCAAATTGAATACAACAATTCATTAACAAGATCATACACCATGATCAAGTGGAATTTATTCCAGGGATTCAGGGATGGTTCAACATCTGCAAATCATCAACATGATGCACCACATTAACCAAATGAAGAATAAAAATCACAAATGAAGAATAAAGTCATCTCAGTGTATACAGAGAGAGCATTTGACAAGCTACCACATCTATTTATGATAAAAACTCTGAATAAAATGGGTATAGAAGGAAAGTACTTCAACATAATAAAGGTCATATGTGACAAACCCACAGCTAATATCATTCTCAATGGAGGAAAACTGAAAGCTATCCCTTTAAGAAGAGGAACCAGACAAGGATGCCCACAAAAACAAAAACAAAAACAAAAACAAGCAAAACAAACAAAGAAAAACAAAGTGATATGAAGCGAATATGGCAAAATGTTAAGTGACTAGTATGCTTGAAATATCTCATATGTAAGTTAAAACTGTCATCAATATGAATCATGTCTCTATGCATCCATTGATCCATCCATCCATCTTCCTATCCATCCATCCATCCATCTCTACTATCTATCTATCTATCCATCCATCCATCCATCCATCCATCCATCCATCCATCTATCTGTCTATATCTGCCTGCCCATCCATCCATCCCTACCTCTGTCTGTCTATCTATCTATCATCTATCTATCATCATCATCTATGTTAAGTTTTAAGATCTTCAGTGTTCTTAGTATTTACCATATTTCATAGATTTATGTTGAAGAGTGCTTTACTGATCTTTAACATATAAAGTTTGGGTTTATTTAAATTTTTGGAAACCTTTGTAATGTGTAAATATATGTACACCTATAGTCTCATTTACTGCATCAACTGGCAATTCTTAAGAACACTATGAGAGAACCAAAAGTGGACAGAGGTCGCTACCTCTGATCTTCATACAACCCCCTCCTAATCCAGCCTTTCCATGCCAATCCCTCACATGTGCAGGTCTGAGCAAAGGATATTTTGAACATAAATGAAACCTCAAATATAAAAACTGGATTTAGGAAGTGACTGGTCTGAGTTTTAATGCACAAATTTAGCAGGCCAACAAGAGAACAGTGTGACTGCAAACATTTCCATCACTTGCTCTGATGTATTTTCTTTTTTTAAAGATTGGCACCTGGGCTAACAACTGTAGCCAATCTTTTTTTTTTCTCCTTTTTCTCCCCAAATCCCCCCAGTACATAGTTGTGTATTTTAGTTGTGGGTCCTTCTAGTTGTGGCATGTGGGACGCCATCTCAGCGTGGCGTGATGAGCGGTGCCATGTCCACACCCAGGATCCAAAACAGCGAAACCCTGGGCTGCCGAAGCAGAACACACAAACTTAACCACTTGGCCATGGGGCCAGCCTCTGATGTATTTTCTTCATACATTAGAGTACCACATCAGACTACACTAGTAGTCACTTATTCCTTGGTTTGAAGAGAACTGTTGTATGTAGCTTTAGAACTGATGCAAAACAATGAGTAATCTCTGCTGTGAGAAAGTCACCAGTGATGCATGGCTGAGTTCTTTCTTCTCATAATCAAAGCTCTGTTGTCACTTCCAGATTTGACTGAGAAGAGCTACAAAACCTCATTAAGGCAATTATTGCCCTGGGCTCATCCTGGGGCCGATCGCTGTTATGTACCAATTTGCAGAGTCCTTTTAGGTAATGGATAAATCAAGTGGGCTGTTGTGAGCGCCACCCCACGGCTCCCTGCCTGCTGCTCTCTTGTTAAGATGCACTTCAAGGGCATTAGCATCAACTTTGGACTTTCAAAAAGAGGGCTGAAAATAGGACTATGCTACTTTGTAGTAGAAAGGTGGAAATTTAGATGAAAATGTTGGAAAAATATTAACCTAATATGTACTATTAGCTTTCTGAAGCTCCCAAAGGCTCCCAGTGTGTTCTACTGCAAGTGCAGCTGAGCTGATAGCAGGACTGGGGTGTTGGCCACCCCAGGTGAAGGTGGGAGGTTTCAGTCCAGCACTTGGATGAAGGGTGATGCTGAAGAGTGGAGGCAGACTAGATATTTGGGCTTCTTGATCCCCCTGGAACACTGATAAACCACAGTGCCTGGCACACAATAAATACCCAATAAAAATGTAATTTACTTAATGAACAAATGGATGAAAGTCTGTTATTAGTTTGTCACCACAGCTGACTTGGTTTAGTGGGTAGCACGTTAGTGGCCATTATTTCTAAATATACTGAGGCCTGTTTTACCACAACTGGCAAGTTCTTTAACACTCATGTACTTTATGTAGGTCATGGAGATAATTGCTGTTTAATATTTGAAAAGCAAATAGATGTCTTGGATAGTGAAGGACATTCTTGAGGCTTTGCATTTATAGCTTTATTATTCTATGTCCCCATTTTATTCTTTGACCTGTCCTTTTGTTTCTGAGCATTTTTTGCTCAGTGTGAATCAGAAGGCCTTAAAGAACCTGGAAAAAATAAATACAATGATGTCGCCAGTGGGCAGGTGTTTTGGAGAAGATAAAAACATTTTATAAATGAAGAGTTGTGGCCTTAAACTTTGATCACATGTTTTGTTAGTAGCGATGGGAAATGGAGAATCACCATCATTTGTTTTTGGCAAGGAAGAGAAGGGGACCTCTGCTGGGCCAGGTGAGGGGAGAGGTCAGCTGGAAGCTGGGACTGAGGGGGGCCTGGTAAGGGAAAGATTCTGACTAAAGGTACAGATTGAGGAGCTTTAGACCCCAAAGGAAACCGTCTTTATCCTCCACCTTTGTGCTTTGGCTGTTCTGTTGGGTATACTGAAATAAAGTCACTTTAAAAATCTGCATTTCTTAGTGAAACTGTACTTCATGAACTGTAACATTAGGAGGATGAAGCTGAAAGTGTAAGCCCTTCGAGGTCGGCAAAGCCCAAGTCAAATCGTAGCCTTGTCAGTTACTGGGATGTGATCTGAGTCATGTCTCCTTCCTCTCCCATCCCCTGTTCTTATTCTGCCAAGTGGAGATGATGCCTGCCTCACAGCAGTCAATCATTATTCCAGCGATCATGCGGGTCAGGCAGGGGTGCCTGCTCTCCATTCAATCCTTTCCTCTTCCAGAGGGAATTTAGTGAATCTGAGTGGGTGAGGGGACAAAAAGCGATGTAAGGGAGGGGACTGCGACTTTTGCACCCTGTCGGCTGCCCTGTGTTGGGCTAAGGGCTCCACATTCAAAGGAGCTGTGTGTGTGTCTCTGCGACAGAAGAATGGGCGAGTTCACTTGTAAGCTGTCACTCTGCCTTTTCCAATTAGATGAGAAGGGTGGCTGATGCACTGTGTTTTTATTATATGACTTCCAGGTGCTGTCTCTACCGTGTGACATGGAGGTGACAAGGTGGTCTGCTTGTCCCTGTAGGAGTGCAGGAGGAAAGGGTGGCTCCTGTAGCCCCCAGGCTTGAGGGACACAGAGGTGACCCTGCACTGATGTGACTAAATCACACAGCTGCCTAGTGTAGCTGAGTTCTGTAGGTGGCACCCTGAGCATTTTAGGAGGCATAATCTCATGAGACTACATTTCCTCCAATGTATCTTATGACCTCTCTTTATGTGGGAGGGTTTAGAGTGGTCTACCTGTCGTTATTGGTTCCTTGTTTATTCTTAGGAGACAAGACAGGAAAATGAAAATATGGAGACCTCTACTGTGCTAGTGAAGGAAAAGAGGAAAATCTGACAGTGAGGATAGCTCTGTGTGTGTGTGTGTGTGTGTGTATGTAATAGAAAATGCATTGACACTTTTGGGGAAGAGAAGGAAATATATAAAGTTTTGAGAGAAAAGACAGTATGATAAAAATGAAAGCTTGTCTGTTCTCTCACCAAATATTTTCTCCCTAAGTTTAGTTTGAATTGTTTACTTTGAAGTTTTGGTGTAGTGATCTAAATAGAACAGAATGAAGAAAAAATTGTGATAGAGATCAGATAATTTTAAAAATGGAAGATGATTTGTCACTTTTGGGAGAAATCACCAAGAGACTCTCAAGTTTGGTGTCCATTGCTTGTAAGTGACCTTCGGCGTGGAGGCAGGCTAGTCTGATGGTTATAGCATTGATTTTGGCATCTGATCGACGTGGTTTCAATTCTGCGCTCCGCCACCCATTAATTGAGTAACCTTGTATATGTGATTTAGTTCTTGGAGTCTCACTTTTGTCATTTGTGAAATGTCATCTAGATGATGGCAGTAGATTCCTCACAGGATTGCTGTATTAAGTGAGAAGGGAAGCACCCGGCCCATAATAAATGTCTAACTGATACAGTTATCATTTCTCTCTGTTTATACTGAGCAGCGTATTATAATGAATTATATCTGTGTATTATTACTTGGCAGCATACCACAGTGACATGGGCGGAAATGCAAAAGGTGAGTAGAATTTGGAAAATTCAGATAACAGAAGCTTGAAATTTATATACTGCAATAATTGACATTCATTCTTTTTGTTTCTGTTTCTTTTCTCATCCTGTTGAGTCATGCCCTTGGAAAACTGAAACCTTATCCTAAAACCTGGAAACTGCTAGTGTGATACACATAAAATACATACTTTTCTCATATTTTGCATTCCTTCTGATTTAAAATAAGGTATTCTATAAAGATTTGTTTGCTTTTCTTTTTTCAGCTCATTTATTTGATCACTTCAACAAACCCTTACGGAGTGCTTCCTGAGTGGCATGTGCTCTGCTGGCTGCCAGAAGGCTGGGAAAAGAGAAGTATACAGATGAGTGAGGTGCACAGGTGGACCAGCGATGTGGTCATGAAGGCAGATGATCTCAGTGGGGCCGGAGAGGAGCTCCAATGGGGGAGACCACGGTGGAGGGGAGGCTGCCCCCTGCTGGGGGGGTGGGGAGCTTCACAGAGGCTGTGTCCTGTGAGCAGGAAAAGGAGAGAAAAATTGTATGCAAAAAACCGCAGCCGATGCTTGTGAAAAACGGCAAGGAAGACTTTATTCAAGACTATTGCAGCTGAGCAAAGAGACTGCAGAGTTGTAAGTGCTGGAAAGTACCTAGGGGGAGGTTAGTCAAGGTGTTAGGCACCTGCGTTTGCTAAGTGGTGCTCACCAAGTTAGGCTCCTGCCCTCCCACGGAGATGGGGAGACAAGGGGCATCTCCTTGATGGTCACCTTTCCGAGTGCTGGCTCCCACGTCTTTGAGACAGACTTTCCTGGGCTGTAAAACTGGCAGGTGCTGGGGGGAGATTTACATCTCAAAGGGGCAGAAAAAGAATTTACAACGACAAGTTTTCTAAAGGAAATGCTCTGAGGAAAAGGAGGTCAGGGGCATAGAGTCGGGAAGAAACCTGTCAACATTCCATCCAGCTGAGGCGCCCCCCCCACCCCCACCTCGGGTCACAGTGGGGGAGGGAGGAGCAGGACATCCATGAGAGGAACAGTAAGATGAAAAGGCCAGAGGAAGGCCGCCACCTGTGAGGGTCCTGAAAGGACCAGGCTGCTTCATGTCCTCCTCCACCACTTCCTGAGTGCGTGAGCTGGGCCAAGTTACTTATGTTCTGAGACTCGACTTTCTAGCATGTAAAATGAAGTATTTGAAGGATTAAATGGAGAAATGCGTGTAAATGCTTAGTGGAGTGCCCAGCACATAGTGAATGATAATGTGAGGGATTTTTACCTTTTTGGGGTTTTTTTTGAGGAAGATTAGCCCTGAGCTAACATCTGCCACCAATCCTCCTCTTTTTGCTGAGGAAGACTGGCCCTGAGCTAACATCCATGCCCATCTTCCTCTACTTTATATGTGGGATGCCTACCACAGCATGGCTTGCCAAGTGGTGCTTAGGTCCACACCTGGGATCCAAACTGGTGAACCCTGGGCCGCCGAAGTGGAACGTGTGAACTTAACCGCTGCACCACCGGGACAGCCCTGGGATTTTTATCATTTTTGTGTGTAGATAAAAGGCGAATAGTTTGCTCTTCTTAGTGGCGGGAGTTGGAGCTGAATATCTGCCCTGGCCCCTGTTGCAGAGGGCCTATGTGTGTCCTCCTGAGGAATTCAGCTTCAGAGGAGCTGTGTGAGCGACTTAAGTGGGGTTGGGATGCCGTGACATTTAGATGGTTAGAACAGTCTGGCATCCGTGAAGAGGGTACGTTACATAACACAAAGCAGTAAGTTTTTTATATTTTTTGCTTTTACTTTTGAGAATGAAGTATTTTTTAAGTATTAAGAAATATCTTCATGTGTTATGTCATATCAGTTAGTGAAAAGGAAAGCACACATACACAGATGGGAATAACTCTGAGGAAACATTTGACACACTTCTATACTGCATTAATCATGTTTTTTATCTTGTACTTTGTGATTCTTTGACATCGTGGGGGCCTTGCTGGCTGGGAGACACTGCCCCTCCCAGGGCCGGCTAGTTCCTAGAGACAGCAAACAACTTGCCGGAGAGCACACCTTTCACATACAAGCCAAACAAGCCAGAGGTCACACCCCAGCCCCCTCTGTAAGTGACTCTCACACACCAGCCAAAGTTTCCCCTGCCCCAGAGCCCCCCAGGGCCAGAACCCACTGTAATTACTCAGACGATTCAATCCTAAACTTGTTCAAACTTCCCTGCCCTGTGTGCCCATTCCTCCTGTAGAAATGACTCAAAGTTCCAGCCCGTGCCTTCTCCTCTCCTTCTGCTCCTCACAGACCCTGGTGCTTCCCCATGTGGCCCTGTGTTGAAATGGGCAAACAGCCATTGATGATTAAGTACCTAGGTACTAAAGATTTTTCCTTTTTGCAATTACTGATTATAGCTTTTAGCTGTTTAACCCACCCATTGTTAACTGTGCTGTTTAGGCAATATGCTATTTGACTCCCACTAAGTTCCTATAGTTAACATCTCCCTGGAGCCTGGGTCACCATGGTAATGGGTGTGTGAGCTGTTTTTCAGGAATTAGAACTCCTTGTCCACTTCAGGCTGGTTGAGACCACCAGCTCATCAACCAGGCCTGTGCAGATGTCCGATTGGCAACGTTTTGACCTCAAGAGGCTAAAATCTCCACCCTCAGTTCATGCTAATATTGCCATTTTGTGAACCTGGGTCCCATGAAGAGGCAGAAGTCTGACTACACTTGCACGGATCATCAGTCATCTCCCCTCTCCTCACCTCCAATCAGCTCTCTCCACATTTCAGACCACCTTGCCCCCTACCCCATAAATATCCCTAAGTCCCTGTTTGCAGGGAAGCAGATTTGAGACTCATGCTCTTGCTTCCTCGCATGGCTGCCTTGTGATGAAACTCCCTCTCTGCTGCAATCTTGTTGTCTTGGTGGTTGGATTTCTGGGAGGCAGGCAAAAATGAACCTGGTTCAGTAACAGTGTGGTGTGGCATGCCCATCCTCTTGAGAACTGTGAGTCATAAAACATCTTTCAGTGGCATCGTGCTGTGTCATCACTCAGTCACCTCTATAAGTCCTGGTTAGAGTCAAAACACACATCCATTCCTTTGTTCACTTTCCTTGGTGGTTCATCCCTTTCTTCCTCACAGGGGAGGGTCAGTGGGTGCTCACCCTGCTTATTTGCCTCAGACGCTCTTCCCATTCCTGGGTGGGCTCATATTCACCAGGCATTTGGCCTAGTGTCTTAGTCTGTTCAGGGCTACCACAAAATGACACAGACTGGGTAACTTACAGCAAAAACTTATTCCTCACTTTTCTGGAGGCTGGCAGTCCGGGATCAGGGTACCAGCGTGGTTGGGTGAGGGCCCTCCTCTGGGTTGCAGACTTCGCATATCCTCACACAGTGGAAGGGGCTAGGGAGCTCTCTGGGGTCTCTTTTATAAGGACACTCATCCCATTCATGAAGGCTCCACCCTTATGACCTAATCACCTCCCAAAGGCCCCACCTCCTAATATCATCACCTTGAGGGTTAGGATTTCATCATATGAACTTTGGGGGCACACAAACATTCAGAACATAGCCCTCGGAGGCACAAACTCAACGAGGCCCTTGTCCTCCCCTGCTCGTGTTAGAGCCCCGGCCAGTATGGAGATGTGACATCTGTCCACACAACAACACCAACCTCCTGTGAGCTGCAGAAGCTCCAGTTTTTCCAGGTGTCATTCCTCAGCCTGGAGGCCTTCAGCCCGTCTCTCCCGCAGACTCTGTTTCATAAACGGCTGGTGATTTTGGCAGCCACCCTCAAGGATGGAAGTCCTTGGCCTGACAGGGCTGCTTTGGTCTGCTTTCCCTGTACTTACTTACAGCAGTTGTAGAGCTTCCCTCCTTGATTTTACGTACATTTAACTGTTAGAATTTATGTTATGCCTTGACTGTTGGATAGAAGCCAAGCAGTTTGGGTAACACGTGAGGCCCAGAAGAATCGAGGAGGGAGGAGGCTCTGCTCGTCTCACTTCCTTGTCATCCCTCTCAAAACGGCACTCAGTTATGTATTCTTATTTGGGTAGTTATAATACTGCCATAATTCTTAGAATCTTTGAAAACTCAGTGCAGGGAGTGACAAAGGTCCTTCTTCGGTCACCATGGGCTGGGGGTCCTCCAGGGAAAGAGGGAAGGGCTGAGGAAATGTCTCTCTAGAGGAGGCGGGTGGGATCCCACTTGGAGTGGCTAATAACAAGATGATGTGGGCAATGAGGGTGCATCCTGAGGGAGCCAGAGCCGTGACGTCATTTCACGGTGAATCGTGTCCCCTCAAAAGATGTTGGAGTCCTAACCAACCCCTGCCCCGTACCTATGAACATGACCCGATTTGGAAAGAGGGTTTTTTCAGAGGGAGTCAATTCAAGAAGAGGCATTAGGGCATTAGGATGGGCCCTAATCCAACACAACTGGTTCTTATAAAGAGGAGAAACCTGGACACAAAGAAGTACAGAGGGCAGACGGTATGAAAACAAGGAAACAACGGTCATCTTCAAGCCTGGGAGAGAGGCCTGGCGCAGGTCCTCCCTCACAGCCTCAGGAGGAACCAGCCCTGCCGGCCTCCCAACTATGAGGCAATATGTTTCTGTTGTTAAAGCCGCCCAGTGTGTGGAGCTGTGTTACGGCAGCCCCAGCAAACTGACGCACCTTATCTCTTTTCAGACTCTTTCTAGCATTTCTGGATGCTTTTTTTCCTCAGAAAGATGTCTGAAAAACCAACTTAAGCAAAGCGTGAGTTGAGTGAAAAGATCATGAATTGTTTATGGAATCAAATGAAGAGCAAGATGATGGCGCCTTGGCAGGGGCAGGGATGAGCCGGCCGCAGGCCCTGGGCTTTGAGTACCTCAGGGTTCGTTGGTAGCCTCTTCCCCAGGCGCATTTCTCTCTGTTTTGTTTTCTTGGCTTTCCTGTGTGTTGGGGGATATAACTGCTGGCTACTTTGGAATCACAAATTTACACCTCCTCAGCAAAAGAGAAAGCAACATTCTCTCTCCTCTTTTCAGGTGACATAGTCCTAGGAGAGCCTTTGCCTTGCCATCACAGTGATGGGGGCGGACATGGAGCCTTGATGGGCAGCTCTCACCTGAATGAGGTGGTCTGAGGAAGAGGAGCAGATGCTGAGGCAGGGTGGTCTGACAGAGCGGAGGGAGCTGGACAGTGAAGTGCACAGGTTGCTCCCACAGCCCGCCCTGTGGCCTCCAGCTAACTCAGGAGGAACCCTGTGCAGTGTGGCTGAGGGACGTGGCCCTTTCTCCATTGTTTCTGACCCCTGGGGGAAGTTGTGTGTTTGATAGACTTGATCTGGTTATCGCCTGTAACCCTGTGTTCTGAGTTTCTGCCCTAAGCAGCTCCCTGGGCCATCTCATGACCCACTCTGGCTCTGTCTCTTCTTGGGCTAATTCAAGCAAGTGTGCACACAGCTCCTGCTCTGATTCCTGCAAGCTCAGCCCATTCCAGCCTGTGGTGTGTCACCAGTTTTATTGAAGGTGTGAGAATATAGTAAGGGCCTTGTGAGACTGGAAAGAAATACTGAAAGCGAGTTAGGTGCTGCCCTTGAGCCTGTCATCCATTTGTCTTGACCCTTCTCTGGGAGGCTGCTGTTGAGCAGGTCTTCCTTAGACTTGCTTTCCTGGCAGGCTGTGAGGGCTCGGCTCCTTCTTCCGAAGGGCATTTCCTTCAACTCCCTTCTCCCCTCCTGGAGTCTTTAGCCTCCACAGAGTAAAACCAGGTCCTCCTCAATACCAATCTAAGATCAACTTCCTTTTTCCCTCCTCAGGATGACTGAGAGTAGAAATAACCATTTCCTTCAGTGTAGACTGGCTCTCCACGACACAAACAAGGCACTCACAATACAAGATGCTTCTCAAAGTCTGAGCTATACAATATCAAGTACAGAGGAAGCCCACAATCTGAAGTAATCCAGTTACTTCATGAATAGTCAATTGAAAAAGTGAGTTAAATAGGGGAATCATAAGGAAATGTTGCATGATAACCTTAATATTTTAATTTAAAGCCAAAGTATGGACTTTCACTTGCCAGTCTTTTGATACAGATCAGTCTCTTCTTTGAGCAGGTTGCAATTCTGTGTCATTTTTCTTGCATAAACCACAAGCATATTTCATTACCTATGATTTTTAGTTTTAGTTTCTTTAAAGTGGATTGAGAACTTAAAGATGTTTACAAAGGAATCTGAGTTC